TCAGTGTCAACTTGACACACCTGGGTTGAGGGAGCCTCAATTGGGGAATTTCCTTCATTGGACTGGCCTGTGGCCATGTCCATGGGGCATCTTCTTGATTGTTGAGTGATGTAGGAGGGCCCAGCCCACTGTGGGTGGTGCCACCCCTGGGCAAGTGGGCCTGTGTTGCATAAGAAAGCAGGCTGACCAGAGCCCAGGGGAGCAAGCCAGTAAGCAGCATTCCTCCATGGCCTGTGCTTCAGCTCCTGCCTCCAGGTTCCTGCCCTGAGTTCCTCCCTTGGGCTCCCTGATGAACTGTGACCCAGGAGATGTAAGCTAAATAAACCCTTTCTTCCCCAAGTTGGTATTGGTCAGAGTATTTTGTCACAGCAATGAAGAGACAAACTAGGACACTTACTGTTTTTGTTTGTTTGTTTGTTTGTTTGGTCTTTTTGAGACAGGGTCTCCCTGTAGCCCCAGCTGTCCTGGAACTCACTATGTAGACTAGGCTGGCCTTGAACTCACAGAGATCCACCTGCCTCTGCCTCCTGAGTGCTGGGATTAAAGGTGTGCACCACCACACCTGGCCACTTATTGTTATTCTATGTGTATGAGTGTTTTGCTTGCATATATGTAAGTGTATCCATGCATTCAATGCCCAAGGAGGCCAGAAGAGGGTGTCAGATCCCCTGGAACTGGATTATGGATGGTTGCTAGCCATCCAGGTCTTCTGTAAAAGCAGTCAGTGCTCTTAAACACTTGAGCCATCTCTCCAGCCCCAGTTTTAACTTACTTAAAACAAATATATACCCTCAATTGAGTTTCTAATATACAGAAAGTGTAATTTTAAAAATTATGTTATTAGGGGCTGAAGAGATGGCTCTGGGGTTAAGAGCATTGGGACCTGGGTTTGGTTCCCAGTGCCCATATGGCCACTAACAACCACCTGTAACCAGTTCCAGGAGATCCAACACCTTCTTCTAGCATCTGTGAACATTGCGTGCATGGGTTCACTTATATACACACAAGCAAAACACTCATACACATAAAATAAAAATAAATAAATAAAAAGTTATTAAATCCTATTCCATTTAATATTAACATTAAAATACTTAGCTAAGCAACCTCCCAAAATTCCAGAAAGTTTTCAAAAGTAATCAAAAATGTTACATTAGCATTTCAGTGCAGAGAGAGACATTAATACCCAAATTCTAACAAATATAATTACAAAATAAATAAACACATACATAAAATTTGCCATTATCCTATTTTGAAGAAAAATTACATTTGACATATTTGCATTTCAAAAATGCTGAATACAGCCCTGGTATAGTTATTCCTGCATTAAGTACACTGCTTTTTAAAAATCATCCTAAAAACATCTACTCTCTCAAATAAACCATGCATAGAAGTAAAATGTTTCAGGTAAGGTGAAAGATAAACATCATTCCTTCGAAAATCAAACTGCATTTTAGCTGACAAGGTAAAGACTTAGTAAAATACCCAGAAGGTTGCATGAGGCAGGCTTTCTTCAAGCGACTAAGAAAAGCAAAACACCAAAACCTCTCCTATGCCACCAACTCACATTACTCGGGCAGGTGCTCCGGAGGAAGAGCCTGTCCACCTTCAGAACCAGCTGGCAAAGTTTTTGGAAGCAGACCCCCCTGTTATATGTTGAATTGTGTCCCCTAAAAGATATGTTCAAGTTGTAAGAAGCAGTACTTACAAGCATGGCATTATTTACAATCCGGGTCTGGGCAGACATAATCAAATTAAGCTAAGACTACTGGGGTAGGTCCTAATCCAATGACCAATGACCTAATGAAAGAGGGAAATTTGGGCAGAGACATGAAAGAAGACAGCCCTGTGGAAAGATTGGGGCTACGCTGCCACAAGCCAGGGGGCTTCTGGGCCTACCAGAATCTGACAGAACAAAGGCAGCTCCTAGTCTGGAGGCTTTGAAGGGACCAAAGCCCTGTTGCACCTTGGTTTGAAGCTACTAGGCTCTAGAGCTGCACAGAAACAGGTTTCTGTTATTTTAAGCCATCAGGTTATAGAACTTTTTATGGAAGCCCTGGGAAACTAGCACATCTTCTTAGTCATCATATGTGAGAACTATAAATGGCACGTCTTGCCTGTTTGGAGATATTAATTATTTCATAAAGGATAAATAGAGCAGTGGATTCAGAATTTCCACAAATCCAAAGTTCTGTCTCCTTGGGTATCTGATGTCTAATAGGGGCATGTCCTTATCCATACCCCATTTAGAAAAATACCTGAATGATCTGTCTCTTCATACAGAGGAAGATATTAAAATAACATATAGGGGATGGAGAGATAGCTCAGCGGTTAAGAACACTGGTTGTTCTTGCAGAAGACCCAGGTTCAAATCCCAGCACCCACATGGCAGCTAACAACTGTCTGTAACTCCAGTTCCAGGGGACCCAATGGCCTCTTTTGTCCTCCATGGGCATTGTGCGACACAGGTGCACTTACCTACATGCAGGCAATACACTCATATACACAAAATAAAAATAATAAATAAATAAAATAACACATAAAAGATTAAGCATAAAATTTTAAAAATGCATTTGTTGTATATGTGACAGTCTCATGTGTCCTAGACTGGCCTCAAACTCACTATATAGCAAAAAATGTCCTCAAACTTCAGGTCCTCCTGCTTTCACCTCCTGAGTACTTGGATCACAGGTGTACAACACCAAGCCCAGTTTACATAGCACTGGGGATCAAACCCAGGGCTTCATGCATACTAAGCAAACACTCTACCAACTGAATTACATCTGAAGTAGGAAGATCATGAGTTTGAGGCTGGCCTGGGATATATAGCTAGATTCAGGCTAGCATGAATTACATAGTGAGACCCTATCTCAAAAACAAAATGTGAGAAGAAGCTAAAGATAACTTGACACAACTAATACATCATTCTGATAATAAATTCTCTTCCTCTGGTTATAAGTCTGTGGTAGAACTAAAGTGCTTCCCTAGCCAACACTTCAGACTACATTTATACTCCTGGGTAAGATAGAAAAATATATATTGAAGATGGAGGCCTCTCCCACAACTAGGAGTCTGGAAGGTTCATCTGCTTAAATACATGTAGCTTTTTCAGCTTTCCAAGGATTAGACGCACTGCATAAAATTGTGGTATTTTTAGCATATACTAATTAAACATAAATTATGTACCTTGGTATTTAAAAGAAATGATGTGCTAATTCAAGATCTTGCCTTGAGCCCAACAACGTAACAGAAAGAATATTTTTTAACAAAAATGTCTTCCAGAAACCTTGACAAGAATCATAATTCAGATCAAAATCTAACAAAATATATTCTCAAAAAGCTACATGTA